TAATGCATTTTATATTTTAAGTAAAGAACGGACTAATCTGCATTGTTACGTTGTCTATGGATTTTCTCACAGGACAGTGCCTTTAAAGGCCAGTGTGGCCAAGTTGCAAGGACGTGAGGCAGCTCCATGAGCACAGGGGAAGCGGGAAGCATTTGGGACATTGTTAGGGTATTTTTTTGGATTTTTTTTGTAGAGTAGAAGGTTGCTTATTTTAGCTAGGGAATACATAGCATTCATAGCGATCTTCAATAATTTATTTCATAGGCTATAGGCACATAGCTCATTGCTTTACACAAATTAAAATCAAAATAACTCTGCCTCTTTTCCAGGTGAAAATCCAAAGCAGGGTGGTTCTTCCTGCCGGCTTCCTCCCAGACCTGTGCCAGCAGGCCAGGGAGAGACCACGCTTGGAGATGGGTCAACATCTGGGGAGTGGCGTTACTCTCGGGACGGAATGAGCTAAAGGAGAGAAACTACGTGAGAAAGTAGGAAAAGGGGCCAGGTGCGGTGGCTCACGCCTGTAATCCCAGCACTGTGGGAGGCTGAAGCAGGCGAATCACCTGAGGTCGGGAGTTCGAGACCAGCCAGAAATCCCATCTCTACTAAAAAATAAAAAAAAAAAAGAAAAAGCTGGGTGTAGTGGCGGGCGCCTGCCATCCCAGCTACTAGGGAGGCTGAGGCAGGAGAATCTCTTGAACCCGGGAGGCAGAGGTCGCGGTGAGCTGAGGTCGCGCCACTGCACTCCAGCCTGGGCAACAAGAGCGAAACTCTACCTTCAAAAAGAAAAGCAGGAAAAGGGGAAACTTGAGGCACCTCAGGGCTTGGGCTCACCTAGTAACGAAAAGTGACACCTCTTTTTTTCTCAGGCTGACCATCTACAGCGTGGCAAAAACAACACAAAACAAAACACTTCTGTGAATTGCGCTGTGACGAGCATGCCATGCTTGTGATTCATATTCCTCTGGGTACATGGTTTACATTCCTTTGGATATATGCCCAATAATGGGATTGTTGGGTCAAATGGTAATTCTGCTTCAGGTTCTTCGAGAATCTGCCAAAATGCTTTCCACAACTAATTTATGGAACTAATTTACATTCCCTTTTCTCTGGAAACTTGCCAGCATCTGTTATTTTTTTTGACTTTTTAATAATAGCCATTCTGACTGGTGTGAGATAGTATCTCACTGTGGTATTGATTTGCATTTCTCTAATGATTGGTGATGCTGAACATTTTTTCATATGCTTGTTGGCCATGTGTATGCCTCCTTTTGAATAGTGTCTATTAATCAACCTAAATGCCTATCAACAGTAGATTGGATAAAGAAAATGTTATACACCATGAAATATTACACAGCCAGGAAAAAGAACAGGGTTGTGTCCTTTGCAGTAACATGGGTGGGACTGGAGGCCATAATCCTATGAGAACTAACACAGGAACAGAAAACCAAATACCACATGTTCTCACTTATAAGTGGGAGCTGAACATGGAGTACACACAGATGCAAAGAAGGGAAAAACAGACAGCAGAGTCTACCTGAGGGTGGAGGAAAGGAGGAGGGTGAGGACTGAAAAACTATTGGATACTATGCTTATTACCTGGGCGGTGAAATAATCTGCACGCAGAACCCTGGTCACAAACGATTTACCTATGTTACAAGCCTACACATGTATCCCTGAACCTAAAATAAAAGTCAAAGCCAAAAACAAAACAAAGAAACAAAACACTTTGCTCATTGGTGCACTGGGCATTTTTACCAGTGGAGGCTTTCAACCTTGGCTTACCTGGGAATCACCTGGAGCTGAAAATCCTCCTGAGGTCCAGATCCTCCAATAGTGCTCCTCCCCCACTGCAGTAGTCCCCCACCCAGGGATTGAGACTTGAGCAACAAGCACCTCCATTAACAGGAGGGGAGGAGGCGTGGATACTAAGCCTGTCAGTCCACAGTAGTCACCTGCACACTCCAGGCCAGAGGGCTGACCACCACGCTGAAGGCTGCCTCTTGTCCTCCAGTTCTGCCTGGACCGGACTGCTGATGGAATCACACGCAAACACCCGTGGCTAAGGCAGCCTTTGAGAATCACCTTGAGGACACGCTCGCACCCGCTCCTGGGGCAGCAGTTTTCAGATCTTTACTTACAGAATTTCTAAAGTGTTTCGAAAGGCCACAGGCCTTTTGTACTTTTAAAGCTGACATCTAAACACTTCTGTCATGCATTTAATTAGTCAAGAAGGGTATCAGCACATTTTGAATACTGACATGTTAAATAAAATGCACATCATCTTTAAAAACGTATCCAATGGAATCTAAATAGCACAGCAATCTGACATCAGTCACTTGCTGTTTAAAAAGCATGAAAACCAGCTTTCTGACAGTCAGAAATTTATATGAATGCTTCTCTCCCTGAACTTGCATTTCTAGTTTATGGCCTCTACTGATTTTATCTAAATGTAATACATTAAATATTGACAATGTTAAACTTGACCTGAAGGTTAAGAAATCCTCTTACCCTTCCGGAAAATGGCCTACTGCAGGGAACAGCCTTCCCATGTGAAGCAGATGTGCTACCATGTTACATGTTGACTTAGGATGAGGCCAGTGCCAGGCCTTCCAGGTTGCCATTCTTTGGCCATCAGTGATTAGCTGAGTTGCTCTGCCCACTGATCAACCGGAACAAAAGCCTCATTAACCAAACTTCAGTGAAGCTTCTTTCCTTCCCTGGGCTCCTGAACTTGACTGCCCTCAGCCTGAGCCTGCAGGCAGCCCCTCCTGAGAAGAGGCTGGCCATGGGTCAAAACTGCTGTCACCACTCACCTCCCATCCAGCTCACTGCCCCAGGCTCTGCTCTTCCTAGTTTTGATTATTCCTCTCTACAAAAGAAAACCCGTTTCTGCCTACCTCTTCAGATGCTTGCAGGTCTCATGGCTGCAATTCCCAATTGTAATTCTCAATTATAATGGTTTCCTTCCCTCTTTGTAACAATACCTTACCCAATTGCAATAACTTCCCTCCCCCGTTGCAATAGACCCTCCTACCCCATTGCAACACTCTTCCTCTCCATTGCAATAGTCCTCCTCTCCCATTGCAATAATCCTCCCCCATTGCAATAGTCCCCCTCCCCCATTACAATAGTCCTCCTCCCCATTGCAATAGTCCTCCTCCCCATTGCAATAGTCCCTCTTTACTATTGCAATAGTCCTCCTCTCCCATTGCAATAATCCTCCCCATTACAATAGTCCTCCTCCCCATTACAATAGTCCTCCTCCCCATTACAATAGTCCTCCTCCCCCATTGCAATAATCCTCCCCCATTACAATAGTCCTCCTCCCCATTACAATAGTCCTCCTCCCCCATTGCAATAGTCCCCCTCCCCCATTGCAATAATCCTCCCCCATTACAATAGTCCTCCTCCCCCATCCCTACCGTAATAGTCCCTCTTCCCCATTGCAATAGTCCCTTTCTGTTTGAGTATCTTATCCAATAAAGTTTCCCCTAAGTCCAGATTTATTCAACAGTATATATTTATGTCTTTTTTTGGATTAACTTGTCATACTCCCCTAGAAGAAGATGTAAATTTAAATGTATCTGAGACACAGGGCACTGATAACTCCTGAACTGGAGTTATCATCTCAATGATTAGAGCAGTTTGTGCCAACAATAAGTATGGCATAAGTATTATTACAATTGCAGCTTCTGTGTTTAATAGCATCCTAGAAAAGGATCTGTTCGTGAGGTGGCAGGATTCGAGAACTCATACCCCTCCACGCAGTCACACACAGACACAGACACAGACAGACACAGCTCTCAGTCTGAGGCGGCTTCACCATCCTGTTGTCATTGTCACATTTCCTTGATGATTCCAGGCGCCTGCACTGTGCCCTGACAAATGGTTTGATTACAGTAACTCCCTGAAAGACCCGTCAATGCTGCCATGGAAGGTATCAATGGACAATGCTAAGGTTCTTCCAAACGCCTCACTTCAAAATCCTCTTCTGGCTGTTCCCACCAATCCTCTGAAGACCCTAGCCAGATTCTAATCATGTCTGCCTTCCCCTGCCAGGCGGTGAATGTCCTGCCTCAGGCCACCCTTCAAATTGATCTCTACCCCCTTCGGAGACACTCCACGAGCTCCATGGGGCTGGGTGCTGGCTGGGCTCAGCCTGAGCATGGCCAGCTACTTCCCCACCTGCAGGGGTAGAAATCCACTGGACAGGCTGCTCTAAGGTTTCCGTTTTGTTTATGCATCTGTGGGTGGACGAGACAGCTCAGCACCAATTTGGCCTCTGTTCTTTGTTGTATCAATGGAAGTGCAAGTAAACAGCTTGCTCTGGACGAGTGGATGGGAACACAGGGCTTTGCAGAGTCATCCCGCTCACTCTGTGAAGTCCTCCCAGTTTACACTCCAGAATTCATGATGAAAGCCACACGTCTAGGTTCCCAGCCAGCCTTGCTCCATCATTAACTGGGTATGCAACCTTGGGCAGGCTATTACAACCTCTGGTGCCTCAGTTTCCCCATCTGTCATCCAGCAATGTCTGCCTTATGGGAGGGGGAAGATTCCAGGGTCCCACGGTCAGTAATGATCAATGTGATTTTAATGGTTGCTCAGGGGGAAACTAACTTAGGGCTTTCATCTTCCCTGCTTAAAGCTGGTTTGCAGGATCCATACCCAGTCATGGGTGTGCTCACTGTCTCCACACCCCAGTCACCCATCCCACTTTGGAAAAGGGGAGGTGGGCGAGGTCAGGAGGTGAAAGAGGAGGGGGGCTGTGTCCAGGTGGCCACTGCTGTTAGGGGTCAAGAGCGAGTAAGACTGGGAATGTCCCTTCCTCCCCACGAGCGTCTGAATGGTCTTCTGATAATAACGGAGCAGATATGTTTGGAAACAGTTTAAAACCTGGTACCGTGACCGGTGCTTCATATTTTTTTTGGCTCAAAACACACAGGAATGATAGATAAACTATATAAAGAGAAAACAAGAAGACAGGCTAGAAACAGATCTGGATGTTACCTAGGCACTTAGCATGCAGTTTCTCATTTGCTGTGGACATGACAAGAGAGAATTCCTCACTGGGTTTTCTGTCTGCCACCCTGCTAGTGATCAGTCCACTGGGAACATCTTACTAACCCTTTGTTAAACTTGAATCAGTTTTACTTCCATTGCCTAGATATGCACTGCGCAACAGAAGCTGTTTTCACTGCAATCCTGAGGAAGGCTGTCTGTTTCTGTTGATGCTCTCTCTCCTCTCTGGGTGTCCTGGATGGAGTGCAGTGGCCTCAGGCACACTGGAACGGTGCTAATGGAGTGAGGGTGCATTGAAGTTGGGGCCAGTGAGGAGTCCTTGTGTTGCCTGCCGTCATGTGCAGGAGTCTGTAGATAACTCTGAGCCGTGGGAATGGCTTCCAGGATACACGTAACACACGCAGTGTCTGCTGGGTGGAGGGTGCGGGGCCAGGCATCTCCCCAGCACAGAGGCACAGGATTCCCCACGGTGCCCAGCACTTTAAGCTTCTGGGAAGTGGAGTAGAGAGACGGTTTTAGAGTTACAGAGCCAGAAGCTCCCATGTCAGGGAGAGGCTGAAGGGTCCTTCCAAGCACTGAGCGGGGCTGCTGTTTTATCATCACTGTCATAAGAAGTAAACAAAGAGCATGCACCTCAAAACTGAAGTTTAAAAGGAATTATAAAATTAATAGAATGATTATATTAATGCTGTGGATGTGTAATATTGTGATAGCCTTAGCTTTTGAGAATTGGTAATTCATTATATTTTCTTTTCTCATTTTAAATAACAATGATCTGCTTTGGATGGGCTCTTGTATTTATAATTTTGTACACTATTTCTTAGGAAAGTTCCCCCACATCGTTTAAGCTTCATCCCCTACAAAACCTGCCTGGGCTCCTTGTAAGCCTACAAGGCTTGCAAATATGCCTCGTCCTCCCTCCACCAGCACTGAGCACCCAGAGTCTGTGCAGAGTGGGTGCGTCTTGCCAGTGTTGACACAGAGAATGAGCCTGAATGAGCCAAGACCAGAAAAAACCCAGGCCTCCCAGTCAGCTGTGGACTGGTTTGATGCTCTCTTCTCTCTTCAAAGCATTCTCAGATCCATTATTTCATGTGCACACTGGCTGGGCAGATCACCAAATCCCCATGTTACAGAGGTGGAGGCTGAGGCCAAGGGCTTGGTGGCTGACATACAGCCATCTAGCTGGAAACTGGGGGCCTGGAGCCTGAATGCAAAAGTCCAGGGCTCTGGTCCTTGCCTGGATGGGCACATGAGTCCATGTAACTCCTGGAGAGGCTGGCATTTCCAGTGGCAGCCAAGATGTGCCTAAGGAAACATTCCCTCCTCCAGACCCAGTGGCTGATGTAGCTCCCGTGGGTGCATCTGGCCCAACTGGAAAAACCAGCAAGCCAAGCCCCTGAGTGACCGCAGGCTGACCGCGGAAGAGAAGTGTTTTCAGGCAAGTAGTGAGAAAAGAAGAAAACAATGCTGAATCGCTCAACAAGGGGACAAACCCTGCAACCCCAGCTGGTGGAATGACAGAAGCTGATCCTGGGGCCGGTACAGGGCCATCACCTGGATCCCCAGGGCAGTGGATGCACAGCACGCAGGCTCGGGCAGAGGATGGGTCAGGACTCACTTCGGTCTCTGTTCTGCCACTTCCTCTCTGAGTCCCCTGTTCCTGCCAGCTTTCCCAGCTTCTCAGCTCGCCCCTGGCCACTAATACAACTCCCACATGGGAGGGGGGACGCTCTTCCAGAAACCTTACCCCTGGCGAGTGCTTCCTCCTGGACACAAGAATAAAGCTGGAGTTCTGGGGACCCCCGTCCCACCATGCTGGGTTGTCTGGGTGCAGGTGTATCGTCCCTAGGGCTCATGCCCGGACACAAGTCTGCCGGCATCCACTCAGAGTGGCACTGGCCTGGCTGTTGCCTTCTCTGCATCCTACCCACCTTGACTGCAAGGTCCCTGGCTCCACAGTATCCAGCCTGACTACACTGAAGGTAGACGCAGCCCCTTCCCCGCCCCCTCCAAATCCGGCCCAGCCCGAGAATGCCAGGCAGCACGGAACAACACGCTCAGCCCCTGTGCTTCATCTGGAAAACAGAGCTACTAACGGCACCTCCCAGTGTTATTCCAAGGATGGAATGAGAGAATGTTCAGGAAGCATTTATCAAAACACTGGGCCCATGGCATATCACTTAAAAATCAAACCTATTTGATTGCAGTTCTTTTATGAATGATTAAAATTTTAAATTTGAATATTTATTGTCATTACTCTCTATAGTAGGTATCATAGGTTATACATATCAAAAGTATTGACCATGAGCTCTCCCTTCTACGGCATTGTTCCTGTTGCTCTGGGTGTCTTTCATTGATTGCCACAAAATCGGAGCAGACATGGCACCATGAAATCCACTCATCCTCCCAACTCCTTCCTCATAAAATGGCACTCAGCTAATAATATCTTTCTTGAAGAAATTATATTAGTCTAGGATTTGTAAAAACAATAAATGTATGTGGTTCTGTCATTTTCTCTTTGTTGAATTTCAGAACGTGGCAGGCATTTTCCACGCAGAGATCAAGCTATTGCTGGGTGGGGGTCCAGCTCCATGTCTCCTTCACTGATGCTATGGGGAAAATTATGACCTTAAAATTTATTTATTTATTTATTTTTGAAAGAGTCTCTGTCACCCAGGCTGGAGTGCAGTGGCCTGATTTCAGCTCACCGAAACCCCCGCATTCCGGACTCAAGTGATTCTTCTGCCTCAGCCTCTGGAATAGCTGGGATTACAGGCATGCACCACCATGCCTGGCTAATTATTGTATTTTTAGTAGAGACAGGGTTTTACAATGTTGGCCAGGCTTGTCTTGAACTTCTGATCTCAAGTGATCCACCCACCTTGGCCTCCCAAAGTGCTGGGATTACAGGCGTGAGCCACAGTGTCCAGCCAACAAATTTAAAATTTAGAAACAGGGCGGGGTGCACTTTGGGAAGCCAAGGCAGGAGGATTATTTGAACCCAGGAGTTCAAGACCAGCCTGAGCAACATATCAAGACTCTGTCTCTACAAAAAATAATTTGGAAAAACCTAGGCAGGGGTGTGGTGGCGCATGCCTATAGTCCCAGCTACTAAGGAGGCTGAGGCAGGAGGATCACTTAAGCCCAGGAGTTTGAGGCTGCAGTGAGCTATGATTTTTCCACTGCGCCCAGCCTGGATGACAGAGCAAGACTCTGTCTCTGAAAAAAACCCAAACAAACAAAAAAGAAGGCTCACACTCATAATCCCAGCACTTTGGGAGTCTGAGGTGGGTGGATCACCTGAGTGAGGAGTTCGAGACCAGCCTGGCTAACATGGCAAAACCTCGTCTCTACTAGAAATACAAAAAATTAGCTGGATGTGGCACCAATCACCTGTAATCCCAGCTACTTGGGAGGCTGAGGCAGGAGAATCACTTGAATCCGGGAGGCGGATGTTGCAGTGAGCCGAGATTGTGCCATTGCACTCCAGCCAGGGCAACAAGAGCAAAACTCCATCTCAAAACAAACAAACAAACACACACACAAACAAAAAAAGCCCACAAAAGTTTAGGGGAAAAAAATAGAAAATGTTCAGGATCGAGCCACAGGCTTCTTTCCCGAGTCCTGGCCCTCGGCATTTTAATTCCTCCAGCTGGTTTCATTGTCTCACCCAGGACCCCTCCCTGCATTTCCGTGGACTCAGTAGCTGTCACTGGAGTCTCTGTCTTTCCTTAAAGTCATGTTTCTAAGCCATTTCAGCCTTGGACATGGGGCACTGTGTCCAGGTCTAAGAGGGAGCCAATAGCCAGTGGTTAAGGTTATTTTTACAGCCGATTAACTCAGATGACTTTAAAAAGGAAAGGTAACAGTAAGTTACAAACTCTTCATCTCTGGTGAGCTAAGGACTAAACTCCAATTTTTTATCTTGTCCAAGTTCCTATCTAAGGGGTCTGGGAAGTCATTTCCTACAAACCATAAATTTTCATTAGGTGGGTTTTATTTAACCTTGTATGTTGTGACTTACTTTCCAGTCTGACTCTGGCATAACATTATGTGACAAAGAAGAAAACAAAAATATTTGACCTCAAAACATATTTCTTTGGCATATTTTGAAATGCCCTGCAAAGATGTCCTTTGTGGGAGAAAATTTGCATAGCTAGATATTTTTTTTCTTTTTTCCAGGCCCTCCCAATCCTGAAGAGATTAACTAAGAGTCTAGTACCTTTTAAAAGACGGAATAGGAAACACTTGTCATTGATTGTCTCTAAGGGCAGCCACTATAAGATCTCAAAAGAACCTTGGCCTCCACAATCTTTTACCTTGAACATTTCATTTCTATGGATCCCAGGTCTTTAGACAAACAACCAGTTGTCAACTGGAAAATGTTTGAATTCACCTATAGCCCGGAAGCAGCACCACCCCTCTCCTTCCAGCTTCGAGTTGTCCTGCCTTTCTGGACCAAACTAGTGTATTTCATAAATGTATTTGATTGATGTCTCATGCCTCCCTGAAATACATAAAACCAAGCTGCACCCAACCACACTGGGCACCTGTTCTCAGGACCTCCCGAGGGCTGTGTCACCGGCCAAGGTCTCTCAGATTTGGCTCAGAATAAATCTCTTCAAATATTTCATAAGGTTTCACTCTTTTCATTGACACATGGCCATGTTTTTATGTATTGATCAACCATAGAAGCAAAAGAAGTAGGTGCAGGGGGCTCACAGGCCATCTCACACTGGGTGACCTGCAGGCAGAGGCATCCAGGGCTGGGTGCATGGGGAGGGGTGGCCTGGGCCCGCTGCCCAGGTGAGGCTTTCCTAGAGGACAGGGGGACCCCTCCAGAAATCATAGGCAGAGCTGGTCCTCACCCTTCCAGGCCTAGATCTGACTTCTCAGCCCACCAGAGGCAAAAAGAGGACAGCCTCAGGGTCCCTAAGCCTGGGGGCCACTGGGAGGGGGAGCGAGTGGGGTCTGGACCACTAGGCTTAGCTTCACCTTAATCCCCAATAACACCTGCCTTGCTAAAGGCAAGGCCTAGAAACTTGCGTTTTTTAATAGTTTGGCTTTCTCAATAACTCTTAGATGGAATTAAATT